AGTAAAACAGATAAAATACAAGATTGTGACAGAAAAAGGCCGCTGAGTATCACACACTCGCGTCGTGGAAGACTGATAAGAGGAGGTTGGTGTAAATTTCAACAAGAGGAATTTGGAGGAAGGAGACATTTGTGTCTTTGAGCTGATGAGAAAGAGAAAGAGAAACGATGACTTTATTCTGAAAGTTTCAATACATAAAATTAATCCATAATCACAGTTATTAGCATGCATCCTTGATGTTTAACTTTATTTCAAATTTTGTGTATTTTGAGTTTCATGAATGCGTTTTCAGCCTATTGTATTCATAATTTCAACAAAACAAACTCTAATGTAATCCAAATATGAATTATATCTCAACATTTTTACAATCTAAAAAATAATGATGTTATTTAAATTATTTCTCTATTCCTTTTCATATGAGTCATGAGCAGATTCCTGTAATGAACCATCTATTATACTAACAAAACTATAAAATGCGTGTTCTCTAACAATAATTTGAAAGGAACTGGCGATGCAGACATTGTTAGCAGCTCGAAAAGTACAGGCAAACGGGTCTACATATAAGCATACGCCTGCGGGATATGAATGTATAATAAGAGAATGAAATGATAAAGCTTATCCCTTAACCACTTATACATGATTGATGCTAAAATCAAATAGAAGGTACCATAATTTTTAAAAATAGAATTCATCATCGGTGCATGCTCGAAATACCATTTAGCCGGCAATTACAGGGACTGGGTACTACTATTGTAACAAAGACTGCAAGAGTTGCTAGTCTGTACAAACTTCTTTAACAGAGTTTGAAGCCTTGGCATTGATGCGAAATACTCTTCAAACCACCTGACCTATATAATCAAGTTCAAAGCAGAGTCATTTGTCGAGGTAAGAGAATAAAAAGTTCTGCAAATAATACTTGGTGTTATGCAACTAACCAAGAAACAAATCACACAACCAAACAGAATCAGAAAGCACACACACACAATCAACAATCAATTTTACCATGGTTCACTTGCCCTATCTTGAGCAAGCTACATACACGTTGAACTCCGGAAAGGGAGTTCGCTGCACTACATAATAGAATCAATCACTTACAGTCCTAGACTCGAATACGCCCAGAAACCACCTCACACGCCTCTGATTCAACTTGCAATCTGACCCTAGGAATACCTAACCCTGGAATCCCTAGAACAAAACACCAGACGCTCTTTCCTCAAATGATTAACCAAAACCACTTAAGATTACACAGATTACACAAGACTCGAACCAGAATAACAAGAACCCTAACTTTGTACAAAGAATACATAACAGTTCGATGTGAGAAACCCTTAGTGTTTGCGAACGAAGACTTCTCTTTTATATTCTACAAAGAATAATAAGAGAAATCTGATTGTTGATTGTTGTGTGTGCTTTCTTGATTCTGTTTGGTTGGTTGTGATTTGTTTCTTGTTAGTTACAAATAAAATTTAATTTCATCTCACGCTGTTTTGCAAGTTTAAAGTAAGTGGTTGCAATAATCAAACTAAACTTGTATTTTATCTTAATTACTTGGTAATCAAGCGTACTATGACCTTTAAAGTCTTCTCTGGAGTCTTCTTTATTGTTAATTTTATGTTATGCAAACTAAAAGTCTAACTTGTTCCACTTCCCAATTTTTACTACCAAACAAAATGTTGGCTTTTATTATATAATTTTTCGAAGTTGTACATACAAGCAATGAATTAACAAATGTAGCTCATTTTCTAGACTCCATTCAACATTATCGTATGATTATAATATCAGAGATAACCTAGGCACATGTGGTTGGGTTATGGTTTCCTCTCAGGATTGCTTCAACGTTTGAACAAGAAGATGTTGCTCGACCTTCATTACCGCCATTGTAAACCAAGTTGATATCACCAATCTCTACATTTTAGCATGGCTTCACTTTGCTAAGCATTAGATTAACTGCAACCTTGGAGAAGGAAGTGCCGCGAATGTTGTTGTATCTTACATTGTTGATCTTCACTCTTGAAGGAGCCTATCTCCAGGTGCTGAGATCTTGACAGATTTTAGCTTCAAGTTATAGCAGGAAAAAATGTTGATATTAACTTTTTTGCTATCAACTGATTTTATATCATTGATTGTTGAGTCGTTGAGGGAATTGAATCGTAGAGACTGTTAAAAAGTGAAGCAAGTAAGCAACTAATTAACTCGAAATTGTGTTTCAGTTATTGAAAGGCGACATAGATTAAAATGTTAGCATATTATTAATGAAAGAACTTACTGTAGGAAGCTGGCACTTTGAATTTTAATGGCAATCATTTTGTGGCCATGCAGTTTGTCCTTGGCCATGCAAAATTCCACCACCAGCAAGGGTGAAGTTGTTGAGATCTTGAAAGGTGATCCAACTATTCGTATTGGTAAACGTTGATAGATCACTAGGAGCCTTCACAAACCCTTTCACTATAAATAAAATTAGACCTTTGCATGGACCTTTAAACACCACTGAACTGACCAAGTAATTTCCTGACGGAACCATTAACTTGCTATTGCCATTCCAGTTGCAAGCTTTTTCCCAAGCAATACTAAAAGCCTGAATTATTTGACATAGTTGAAACATAATGGTTAATATTGCCTACCTAAAAAGACTATGAGACTCTCGTAATAATAAGTATTTTTATGGTTGCAGTTAAAAATCACTTCCCATAGACTTAAAATAAGAGAACGGGATTATTGAAAAGTATATCCAAGAGGCTAAGTCCATGAGAGGAAAGCAAAGTGGAAATATTGATGTGTAAGATTATAAAAGAAGGATGCTTATTGTATTTTGTAACGAATTCTTATTCAATTGACAAATAGATTGATTTTCTCCGATTTCTCTTTGTACAAATATTATCCAATTAACTCTGCCAATTAGTTAAGACTCTAGAATATGATTTAAGGTCCACATTCTACAGAATCTTCACAATGTAAATTGTAAATCAGCTACCTGCTACTCATATCCATCTATGGTCCTCTAATTTTACTTGGTACATTTCTCAACATATAATAAATTAAATTAAATACCCACAAAAAACTACAAAAATTGTAGATGCGAAAATCATAGTTTAGATTAAAGCCCGATGAATTGATTGAATTACTGGTCATGATTTGCAAACTCTTAACAATTATATTCCCTCCAACCAGCAAGTAAGAACTAATTTTAACACAAAATGATCAAGCACCATTCATTAAACGCCTAATACCAAGCTCCGTAGCATACCATCCATTTACGTTCATGATCAAGGAATGTAGTATAAATAAAATTGGTTTAACCAACAATAGGTTGGCCGAGTGATAAAGGTTTGGGGTCAAGGGATTTGCTTCCCTTGTGGTATCAGGTTCGAATCTTACTAATATTGTTGGTCACGGACGCAGGGCTTGCCCTATTATAGAAGTTTTGTTCGAGGTCAGGAGATTAATCGAAGTACGCGTAAGTTAATCTGGATACTCTCGATAACAAAAAAAAAGAAAAAATTGGTTTCATATCAAAAGCTATTTTTTTTGTATATTTTTTTATAAAGTAAAATGAAACTACTACTCTTGAATTAGGGGGAAATAAAAATAAAACTCTGGTAAATACAAACTGTGTAATACAAGAGATGTGGATCTGTACAAACTTCTTTAATAATATGCTGAATGAAGCATTCACATTGATGATAAAAGGCTCTTCAAGCAACTAACCTGAAATATTGAATGGATAACAATATCTGGTTTCCAATCTTGGTAATTCATGCTCACAAATTGTTGTCGAAGAGTCCATAACTCACAAAAGCAGAAAACATTAAATGGTAGTGTGAATAAGAAAACTTTAAATGGTAAACGAACTTGCTCATTGAAATGAAAATTCAAATTTACACACAGAAGAGGTATGTACATTCTTTTATGCAGTCAAGAAATCTAGCAATGGGTAGATTTCTTCTATCCTATTCCTGAAAAAGAAAAGGTAGATTTCTATAAAAAGAGTATAGGACAGTAATAGCATGAAATAGCTCCAGAATGATGATTAGACATACATTGTGCCATAGGAATCAACTCTCTTCAGAATCCAATAAGGATCTACATGTGGATGATTAAATTAAATTCATTTCAGATAAGGAAAAAGTACCACAACAACAAGGCAATTCCTAAACCACACAACTTATTTGTACATTAAACTAAATATTGCCGTATTTTTTATTTTATTTTATGAGATATGAAGAATGAAAATATAATATTACGGAAAAGACAAAACTTTTGAGCTAAAACGCAACTTTTATCAGAACTTAGAACAAATATAGAGGATAAAAGAAATCATGACAGAGCCAAGCAGAGGAGAGCCAAACGGTCATTCCAAGTTAAAAATCTCAACATTTTTATATGCTAAATAAAAACATTTAATGGGATCATTTATGATGATGGTAAGTCTATGGCTATAGCTCCAAGTTCGAACTCCATTAATGAAAAAGTCCAACTCTGAACACAATAGACATTGTCAAGTTTAAAGAGAAGTAATTCCAATATTTATTGTGACAACTCAACACACCTACAACGTCCTTAATTGCATTTGGACATTTCACTCTCTTCAAGATAAGATTCAAATTTACAGGTCAGTTTTTTTCTGGATTCAGCTTCCAACAATTGATTGCAGCAAAAGTACTCACAACAACCAAAGCAAAAGCAACTAAAACAGTTCCTCTTTCATTTGTTTTTGTTTTTATTTTGTTTTATTGCTGCATTTGCTTTCACGTTTCACCTCCACTTCACCCACCCTCTCTCTCTTTTCCTTTCCTAAACCAGCAAAACATTCAGTGCTTCTTCCTCCATTTATGGACTTGCTTTGCCCAAACTGTGAATATATCATTGTATTCACCATGTCAGAAGACCATGATGCCACTTACTCGCCTATCAATGACCTTATTTATTATTATACAGATGGTTAGGCTAAATTTTTTCCTTGTTTTGGTTAATTTTGTGCTGCTGGGACTCACAAAGTTTTTGTCGACTCTCTAGAATTGATGTTGCAGTGGGTCTATTTAGTGATCCACTGCAACATCAACAATCTTATGTCAAGTATTAGCTTCCATACTCACCACAACTCCAACAACTAAGCATGGAAGCCAGGAATTCTTTGCCTGAGATTCAAGGCCCTTCACATTTCTTCAAGGTCATCCTTCCCTCAACACTTGAAGCTAAGATGCTGGTAATTCCTCACTCAAGTTTTATCTGTTTTTTTAAGCAAACAAAACTGATTCTGGTGTTTTTTTTTTTCCTTTGTTTTCCACTTTCTTACATACCCATTTCATTCTCTGTAATTTTTTGGCTAAACATTTTACACTTGTGTCATTCACTTGTACATGGCGGTTCTGTAATGTGCATATGACAGCATGATTGGAAGATAATGGTTCTTTGTTTTCTTAACATTGATCAACTCGAGATAAAAATTTAGGACTAATGTGTGTAAAAGCATTTGTTTGACGGATGAGTATCCAATTTTTTTTTTTTTTTAATAAATAGTTCTTGTAACTTAGTTTGTATAATTGCAGAAAATCCCACCAAAGTTTGTGACAAAGTTTGGGGATGAGCTTTCAAGTGTTGCAACACTAACACTTCCTAACGGTAGAGTTTGGCAAGTTGGAGTGGTAAAAGAAAGGGGAAAGATTTGGTTCGGTAATGGTTGGTCTGAGTTTGTGGAGAACCACTCCATTAATACAGGACACCTCTTGGTTTTCCGATTCAGATCAAATTCAAATTTTCATGTCGTTATATTTGATAAGAGTGCTTTTGAGATCGAGTATCCGATTAGTGATGGTGAAGAGCAAGAAAGTGACTTGGAAAGTGTTGAAGAACAGTCTGTGGAGATATTGGGTTCTACAACTTTAAATTCATCTTTCAGGACTTTGGGAATCAATTTTAAAAATAAAAGTGCAAGGGCTGGGCCATCTCGCAATGCTTACTCTCCAACGCATAAAAATGAACCAAGAAGAACTGCACGACAAGTAAGGAAACAGGCAGTGGATAAAGGAAATCAACTTGGTAAGCTCTTTACACTAATATCTTCTTGTTCTAATTTAGAGTTTAAAACATTAACCTTTCCCATTGATTGCAGATCATCAAGAGTTCTATGGTTTCCTTGAAGAATTGTGGATTTCTATCAGTAAAGCATGTAGAAATTTTACCGTGGAAGAAAGACAGAGAGCACTTCTTGCAGCCAGATTGTTCAAGCCAAGCAATCATTCATTCTTGGTTATTTTGAGGACCCGTGACTTAAGAAATGAATATGTGGTGAGCTTTGAATAAAATGCATGTGATCATGAATTTTCATTGATAGCCTTTGATATATGGTAATTCCAAATAAATGGTTTTGCTTTGTGCAGTATATGCCAAAGACATTTTGGGTCAAGTGTTTGAGTAAAGAAGTAAAACAGATAAAAATACAAGATTGTGACAGAAAAGAGTGGCCGCTGAGTATCACACACTCGCGTCGTGGGAGACTGATAAGAGGAGGTTGGCGTAAATTTCAACAAGAGAAGAATTTGGAGGAAGGAGACATTTGTGTCTTTGAGCTGATGAGAAAGAGAAAGAGAAACGATGACTTTATTCTGAAAGTTTCAATACATAAAATTAATCCATAATCACAGTTATTAGCATGCATCCTTGATGTTTAACTTTATTTCCAAATTTTGTGTATTTTAGATAGTTTCATGAATGCGTTTTCAGCCTATTGTATTCATAATTTCAACAAAACAAACTCTAAAATGTAATCCAAAAATATGAATTATATCTCAACATTTTTACAATCTAAAAAATAATCATGTTATTTAAATTATTTCTATTTCCTTTTCATATGAGTCATAGAGCAGATTCCTGTAATGACAGCCATCTATTATACTACAAAGCTATAAAATGAGAATAAAATTCAGATTATTGTCGGCTCACGTTTCTCTAACAATAATTTGAAAGGAACTGGGCGATGCAGACATTGTTAGCAGCTCGAAAAGTACAGGCAAACGGGTCTACATACATGCATACGACTGCGGGATATGAATGTGTAATAAAGAGAATGAAATGATAAAGCTTAACACCTTAACCACTTATACATGCTTAGATGCTAAAATCAAATAGAAGGTACCATAATTTGTTAAAAATAGAATTCATCATTGGTGCATGTTCGAAATACCATTTAAGCCGGCAATTACAGAGACTAGGTACTAGAATTGTAACAAAGACTGCAAGAGTTGCTAGGTCCGTACAAACTTTTTTAACAAGATTTGAAGTTTTAGCATTGATGGGAAGGGCTCTTCAAATCACCTAACCTATAATAATCAAGTTCAAAAGTAGAGTCATTTGTCCAAGTAAGAGAATAAAAAGTTCTGCAAAACATAACTTGGCAAGGTAGAGCGAAATTTTAAGGCAAATCAGATAGGCTGAATCTATCCGAAAATAAGAATGCCACGACGAACTCATAACTAATGATTTCACTCATGGATCACAATTTTTGTACAATAATATTGACAAGTACTCCTGATATTTGGGGCACTGCAGTAAAATATAATTTCAATACTGATAGTTTATGTCCATTTTGCATTAATTTGTTGTTGGAACTCTGGGGTTTACTAACTAACTCTAATTGAACAATTTAACTATCAATTTAGGAATCAATTAATAGAACTATGAACAAATAAAGAGAATCAGCAAAAAGCACGAGACACAACAATTATAGTGGTTCGACTTTGCAGCCTACATCGATTGTCCAAGGCTCACAGTAGGGTATTTTCATTAGTAGCCACAAAAGTATAGAATGATGAACAAAGCAGAGAATAAAACTTTACAAAAGGGACACACCCAATCCGAGAACCCCATATTTTCTCCAATATGAGATCTGCCTTTCTCTTTCATCAATCGATGTTAAGTACACATGCATCATTCCTTGATCAGCCTCCACCTATCTTCGATTTCTCCATAACCGTAAGATAAATAACAATCTGGAAGATTCTTTGGAGTCATGAACTGTCAAGGTAAAGAGAGAGAAAAGAGAAATTGAGCATGTGAAGTGTGATAGCCAAATCACGATGTCGCACTACTTGTTTGACTCTTAATACCAAAGTTGACTTCCATCGAGGCAAATAAGAAGCCATATCATCACAAGTCTCCACCTTAGCTTCTTGATTTGTTACCTTATGTGGCCTTGGAATGCATATGTTTACTCTTGAACTTGGAGAAGGCTCATACCGAGCCTATGTTTTTCAACTGGAACTAGCTTAGTGAACATATCTGCAGGGTTGTGTGAACCTTTAACCTTTTCAATCTTGATTTCCCCTTTTTCAATCATTTCCCTAATGAAAGGAAGGCGAACATCTATGTGTTTGGTTTTTTCGTGGAACACTTGGTTTTTACAGAGATGGATTGCGCTCTGACTATCACTACTAATCATCACTATTTGTTGTTCAATGCCCAACTCATTTGCAAGACCTTTCAGCCAAGTAGCTTCCTTTGTTGCCTCTGTTAGTGCCACATACTCTGATTCTGTTGAAGACAGAGTAATAATATGTTGTAGCTTAGATTTCCAACTAACAGTATTTCCCCACAGAGTGAAAACAAAACCAAACTTCCTCTTATCCACATCCCCTGCATAGTTTGCATCTGCAAAACCTTCAACACAACTGTTATAACTTTGATTCTTCTTAAACACAATGCCTATTGATCTGGTTCCCTTCAAATATCTCATAATCCACTTTAGAGCCATCCAGTGACACTTTCCTAGATTGCGCATAAACCCGCTTATTAGACTTACTGAAAAAGCCAAGTCTGGTCTTGAACACACCATCAAGCACATTAGACTCCCTAGTGCACTTGCACAAGGAATATCTGCCATCTTCAGCTTTTCTTCTTTAGTTTGTGGACTCTGCTCATGTGAAAGCTTCAGGTGAGCTCCAAGAGGAGTTTGGATAGTCTTTGCATCTTGCATGTTGAACTTCTGCAGGACTTTCTCAGCATAGTCTTGCTAAACTAACTTTAGGCTTCCAAGAGCTCTATTTCTGATGATAGAAATACCAAGAATTTTCTAAGCCTTCCCTAGCTCTTTCATTTCAAACTTGGTGTTTAGTAACTTCTTCAGTCGAAGCAACTCAGTTTTATCATGGCAAGCCACAAGCATATCATCCACATAAAACAATAAAAAAATTTGAGTCATATCAAAGATTCTTTTAAAATAGAAACAGCTATCAAAGTTACATCTATCAAATCCAATTTCAATCATAAAAAAATCAAATTTCTTATACCACTATCATGGTGACTGTTTTAAACCATATAATGATTTTTTTGTACAGACAAACTTTACTTGTAGCACTGTTGTAACCTTAAGGTTGTTCCATTAAGATGCTTTCTTCCAAATCATCATGCAAGAAGGTTGTCTTCACATCAAGTTGTTCTAATTCCAAGTTGAATTGAACTACAAGTGAGAGCAATACCCTGATGGATATATGCTTGACCACTAGAGGAAAGATTTCATTGTAATCAACCCCCTCTACTTGTGTAAATCCTTTTGCAACTAACCTAGCCTTGTATCTAGGTGGTTCTTGATAGGTTAATCCTGGTTTTCTTTTGAAAATCCATTTGCATTTGACCACTCTACTATTTGTTGGTTTATCAACCAAAATCCAGGTGTTATTCATCAAAGGATCGAATTCTTCCTCAATTGCTTTCTTCCATTCTAAATTTTTAGGTCTTGAAAATGCTTCTTGGAAGCTCTTAGGCTCATCATTCATTTCTTCCTTCACCTGAAGTGCATAAGCAACTAGGTCTGAATAACCTAATCTATTGGGAGGTTTGATTGTTCTTCTAGTTCTATCTCTTGACAACTAATAATCTGTCAAGTTTGATACATCTCTAACAGGTGCCTCCTGATCTACTTCATGATCAGCACTTGGTTCATTCTCAGAAGTATTTAAGTCATCAACTCCACCTTGATTTAGACCTGGACTAAGATTAGAGTCCTGCACTTCTAGTTTTAAGTGATCTAATCCTGGATAGCAGCCTTTTGATACATTAGATTCACCTTCTAGACTAGGTAGAATATCTTCTCTAAACACAACATCTCTACCACTTCTTAGATTCTAAATTCCAGAACTTATAACCTTTAACTCCATCTAGATATCCTAAGAATTTGCATTTAATGGCATTAGGTTTTAATTTGTCCTCCTTAACATGAACATAAGTTAGACACCCAAAAACTCTTAGATTTTCCAGGTTTATAGGATGGCCGGTCCATTTTTCAAGTGGAACCTTAAAACCTGTAGGTAAAGAAGGTGTTCTATTTATCAAATAGACTACAGTATGGGTTGTTTCTGCCCAGAACTTGATTGATAGCTTAGAACATGACATGATGCTTCTAACTTTTTATAAAATGGTTATATTCATCCTTTCACAAAGACCATTCTATTGTGGAGTGTGTCCAACAGTCTTATGTCTAACTATCCCATGAACTCTATAGTAATTATTGAATTCGTCATTGACAAATTCTAAACCATTGTTAGTCCTCAGTTTCTTTAGTTTCTTTCCAATTTGATTTTCAGTGATGGTTTTCCATTCCTTAAATCTAGGAAATGCTTCATCCTTAGTTTTGAGGAAATAAATCCAAACATACCTAGAGTAGTCATCTAAAAGCTGATAAATTACCTATATCCTCTAAGGGAATAATGCCTAGATGGGCCCCATACATCAGAATGCACATTCTCAAGCGGTGAGTTTGAGTAGTAGTCCCAAATTTCACTTTGCTCATTTTTCGAAATGTGCAATGCTCATAGAAGGTCAAGTTTCCTATTTTATCCTCACATAGTAGGCTTTGCTTACTAAGTTCTCCTGGACCTCTTTCACTGGCATGGGCAAGTCTTTGGTACCACAAAGTGGTTTTATCTTGCCCCTTAGTTGACCCAAGAACAGCCACTCCACTATCAGTTCTACCTTTCAACACATACAGACCATTCGTTTCAGCCTTCATAACTATCAAAGACCCTTTCAAAACAGTAAGACTCCCATTAGCAACCTTATAACTTAGACCTATATAGTGTAATGTCTTAAGAGAAATAAGGTTTCTTTTGAGGTTAGGGATACATCTAACATCAGTAAGGGTTTTGGTTAATCCGTTATGGAGATTCAAATTAACAGAGCCTATTCCTTTAAAATGACAAGCAACATTGTTCCTCATCATCACTTTCCCACCATATAAAGGTTGAAAGGAGCTAAACCACTCCCTATTAGGAATCATATGATAGGTGCAGCCAGTGTCTAAAATCCATTCATCACTAACCCTGCCTTTTGAAATAACTAGGACCTCTGAACTTTCATAACCCTTTGATACTATCCCTGCACTACCTCCATCATCCTCCTCTCATATTTCTTCTTATTCTTCCTCTCAAGGAATCCTCTCCTAAGGTGACCCTCCTCATGGCAGAAAAAACACTTCCATTTTCCAGTTTTAGATTTTGACCTATGTCTATTCGGCGCCGCCTGCCCCCCCTTTTTCTCAAATCTTCCTCTGACTACAAGACCCTCACCATCACTCACATGTTTTTCTCTAATCTTATTTTCACTATGCATAGCTGAAATAGCCTCTACAACTTCTACTAACTTCAGAGTCTGTCTACCATATTTCAAAGTTTCTACAAAATTTGAATAAGCTTTGGGTAAAGAGTTTAATAGGGTCACAGCTTGATCCTCATCGGCAATTTCAACTAAGATGCTTTCTAAATCTTGTATAATCTTAAGGAAGTCATCCTTATTATCCTTTTAGTGATTTTTGTTCATCCATCTTAAACCCAAATAGACTATGTTTTAGAAATAATCTATTAGGAACAGTTTTTGACTGGTAAAGGGAATCTAACCTACTCCATATCTCAGCATTAGTATTTTCTTTCTTCACTTCTCGAAGTACTTTATCACCCAACCCAAGGATCAGTGAACTTTTGGCCTTGTTTAACATATCTTGCTTTTCTATAGCAGTCAAGGTGTTAGGTAACTCAGCTTCCCCCTTCAGAGCTGAAGCCAAACTCTCCTTAATCAGCACTGCTTCATTTTCCATAATCCAAAATCATTTTCACCTGTAAACTTTTCAAGCTCAAACTTAGTTGACATGTTTTTCTCACAAATTCGAGAAATACTGCAATAGAAAAGTAAACAGCTAAGAGAGCCTTAAACTGAATTGAAACAGGAGTAAACAAGTGAAACCCTAATAGAACCTTTAACCAGACTTTGATACCAATTTGTTGGAACTCTAGGGTTCACTGACTAACTCTAATTGAACAATTTAACTATCAATTTAGGAATCAATTAATAGAACTATGAACAAATAAAGAGAATCAGCAAAAATCACAAGACACAGCAATTATAATGGTTTGGCTTTGCAACCTACATCCACTTTTTAAGGCTCACAGTAGGGTATTTTCATTAATAGCCACAAAAGTATAGAATGATGAACAAGGCAGAGAATAAAACTTTACAAAAGGGAAAGAACACACCCAATCCGAGAACCCTAGGTTTTCTTCAATATGAGATCTGCCTTTCTTCTTCATCAATCAATGTTAAATACACATGCACCCTCCTTGATCAGCCTCCACCTGTGTTCGATTCCTCGATAACCATAAAATGAATAATAATCTGGAAGATTCTTTGGAGTCATGAACTGTCAAGGTAAAGAGAGAGAAAAGAGAAACTAAGCAAGTGAAATGTGATAGCCAAATCACGATATGCAAAAGGGTTTATCCAAAAACGATGTCGCACTACTTGTTTGACTCGAAACACCAAAGTTGACTTCCACCGTGGCAAATAAGAAGCCACATCATCACATCTTCATATCCGTAAACTATTATACCTAAAGCTGATGATAAGGTTGCACTTGGAATTGATGGTTCCTGAAATCCAGGTATCAATCAATGAACACATCAAGGAAAACAAAAAATAACTAGAAATTTGACAAAAAATAATCACAAGAAAAAATTTCAAGCACACACTGCCTCAAAACAGTAACAGCTCAGAATATTAAAGCCATACAAACTTCAGGCACGACAAAATCAACCAGATAAGAAAGTTGTCATGCAACCTGAATCACACAAAAAGAGCAAGAACTGATTCTTTTTTCTTCAGATTGAAGAAGATAAGAGCATGAAAAAGCAAATGACACCTTTGACCAACAATAAGTATATGTAAAAGAAAATTCTGCCAATCAAATTTGTAGATTTGACACAATTTTTCAATTACTTGTGAGGATATGTGCTTTCTAATAATTGTTGAATGGATAAATCAACAGGTTCCACAGTTTCTTAATGGAGAAACTAACAATGATATATGGTTTCAAATTTCTATAAATTATGCTAATAAGGAAAAAAAAAGTGTACATACAAGACAATGGTGAAAATTTTTCAAGGAGATACATCAAGGCTGAAAGTAGAGGGTGATCATAGAGTTTATATTTCCATTCTGAAACTCTATGATCCCTGGCTATTAGCGGCCAGGTCTCACTCAGATCTGGCCGATGATGGCCAAGGATCTGGCCGTTAAGCCTAATATGGCCGTTTTCAGTCATCAATATGACCAGAAACGGCTATATCGAAGCCTCGTGGTCACGATGAGCTACTCACGGCAAATTTTGGAGACTTTAGGCGATGGTTTGCGATGACGGCACGGGATGAGAGTGATTTTATCATAAATTAAAGTTTTATATAAACGGGATGTTTTAGCTAAATCTGAAATATTGGGGGTTAAAAAAAATATTCAAAAATTAATAATAAAAATAATATTATATTAATATTTAAAATAAAGACAATTTAATAATTTAAATAACTTACCTAACCAAACATATCAGTATAAACACCCCTTAAAATATAGGGTAATATTATATTTATAAAGAAATTTTACAAAGATATTCATATAAAATGATGTGACAAAAAATGAATGAAAGAGTAAATTTAATGAGTTTAACTTTTTATTTTACTTTTCGATTCATTTTCCGCGACGTGACTTCTATGAAAATCTTTATTGAAAATTAAAACATACTCAAAATGTCTCATCTCTCCCCACCAATGGCAACCCAGGCTCTTACTATCACCCCTCTGTCGCTTCACCCGCTCTCCATCTCACACGCCGCCACTCCATCAGCGTCGTACTCCAGCCTGCTAGAAGCCGCGACGAGGATAGAGAGCCGACGATACCTCACTCATCGTCTCTTAATCGAAAAAATCTGTTCACTTATCGATCAACAAATTAAACAGTAATACTCCTCTACAAATCATCGATGAAGACGACGATGTAAGTTGAATTTCGCTTCTTTTTCTCTTTTCATTTTCAGATTCAACACCAACCCAATTGCTGAAGGGTTCTAAATTGTCAAAAAATAACCCCGAAAATCAGTTCTTTCACAAATGAAACACCAACCCATCTGCTGAATGGTTCTGAATTGAAAAAAAAAAAAAATCCCAAAAATCAGTTCTTTTACAAATTCAACACAGACCCACCAAAAATAAAGAGAAAACCAGTTGGGGAAATGCAAAAAGAACCCAGCAAAGAGGGGGAGGAGGATGAAATGAATTACGTGTGGGTTAGGGAGATAGAAATTGAGAAGTTTTGGCTGCCGATAGAGACCGTGGTTAGGCCATTGATTCTTTCTACTGTTACAAAGAATTCAGGTTTCTTTGTTGTTTCTTACAAAGATTTAAATATTTCAATTTCTTTTTCATCTTTTTTAGTTGATTTATTTCTATCTGTGTCAATTGGGTTTCGTTTTATGTTGTTATCTAATACTATGTTAAAAATTAAACAACAGGTACTGTATGGCAGTGAATGTGATAGCCTTTGTATATTCTGGCTTTCGGGGTTACGATCTAATCTATCAATTGACCTCCGGAGAACGCAAAGTGAGGCAACCCCTCTGCCACTACTTGGATTTTTATTTAGATCAGGTGAGTGAGTCATTGTTTTATTGCGCTTAATTTTTTTTTAAGTTTAATCTTAATTTTAATTTCATGCCTAACTTAGGCCCATGTTTAACTACACTCCTCAGACCACTTCCTTTAGAGGCGGTGCATAAGGCCAATTGTAGATGGAGATTGATAGAAATGTTTGCAAAGACTCTAAAATAGTGAATAGTATTTAGTTTTTATGGGGCCTCTTTAGACCACTGTTGCACACGGAATTGCTTATTTAAGAATCTTTTGGAATGTTAACAGTATTAGCGTTTTTGTCTTAGTGCTTTATATTGTATTTGAATTATGATGTGGAAGGATATCTTGATATCCAGAATGTAGAAGTGCATTATGCTAATTTTTTCTTCATCTCCTTTGTCTTTAGCATTTTCCGTATTCATTTTTTTTTTCGGCTTAACAAAGTTTGTAGGCTATTGTTTAATTGTCTGTAGTATGGTATTGGAACTTGATGTTTCTATATTCCACACATCTTTTTTAGGAGAAACATAAAGCAATCTTGATTAAGAGTCTTACAGATTTTTGTTCCAGAGTCAGTAATATTCAGAAGCTGTCATTTCTTAGGTGCATTATTGTGTGTCTGTAGGTTTGCCAACGGAGGAATGATATCTTACTGCAAGCTGCTATTATGGTGCTGATGATCTCAGTTAAGGTACATTTAAGTGCTGCAATTCGCAGTTTAAGACTGAGACACAGTTGAGTTACATTAGTGATGCCATGTCGTGCAAATTTTGAATTTCCACTTGACTTAATGCTGGCTGTCCTTTAGCATGTTTTACATAAAAAGAATGTTTTGGATTACAATGATGGATTATTCTTCTGGCTATGTATATTATCTATTGACAGTGTAGTTGAATTCTTCCTTTGATGAGCATGGAGGTGAGATGCAAGTTGCACAAGATGCTCCTTTAAAGCCATCTATGGATATCTTTGCTGTAGGGTGAGTGTTAACAGTATTAGCGTCTCTGTCTTAGTGCTATATATTGTATTTAAATTATGTTGTGGAAATATATCTTAATATCCAGAATGTAGAAGCGCATTATGCAATTTTTTTCTTCGTCTTTAACATTTTCCTTACTCATTTTTTTTTTTTTTTTTCAAATTTCTGCTGGACAAAGTTTGTAGGCTATTGTTTAATTGGCTGTAGTATGGTACTAGAACTAGATGTTTCTATATTCCAGATATCTTTTTTAGGAGAAACATAAAGCAATCTTGATTAAGAGTCTTACATAATTCTGTTACAGAGTTTGTAATATTCCGAAGCCGCCATTTCTTATGTGCATTATTGTTTGTCTGTAGGTATGCCAACGGAGGAATGATATCCTACTGCAAGCTGCTATTATGGTGCTGATGATCTCAGTTAAGGTACGTTTAAGCGCTGCAATTCACAGTTTAAGACGGAGACACAATTGAGTTACATCAAAGATGCCATGTCGTGCAATATTTAAATCTTCACTGGACTTAATGTTGGCTGTCTTTTAGCAGGTTTTACATAAAAAGAATGTTTTGGATTACAGTGATGGATTATTCTTCTGGCTATGTATAATATATATTGAAAGTGTAGTTGAATTCTTCCTTGATTTTTCAGAGATTTTTTTAGCATGGAGGTGAGATGCAAATGGGATACTAAAATGATTTTGTATTTGCTATTTTCCTTAATCTGAGCATGATTTTCATTACCTAAAACAGGATACTAAATTGATGAATTTCCTGGATTTTGTGATTGTTGATTTATTATTTATGCCAAGAGTGGATTGTGACTTGATTTCTGGATTATGCAACTCACGTTCTCTGTCAAAAATAGCAAATGAAGCTGACTTAGTGGAGCAGTGGAATGACTCAAGTGATGCTACACCAGCAGCAAGAACATGATTGGAGAGATTGAGAACCACTCAAGCTAACTTTTAGCTGTAAGTGTAACAGTATCTTATCGTTTCATTGAGTTTTTCTCTTTTGTTTTGCAAATATGATTACCTTCTTTGACATTATGCACATTGATACACAAATAAAATATGAGGTCAAAAAACAAAAGGAGTTCATACATTTCTTGGTCAAAGAGGTGGAATCAGCAAGCTTTTCAGAGATATCAGATGTGGAGACATTTGTTAAATGGCTAGATGGGGAACTATCGTCCTTGGTTGATGAAAGGGCGGTGTTGAAGCACTTCCCACAAATAGCCAGAACGAAAAGCAGATGCTTTAAGAGAAGCTGCTTTCAATTACAGAGACTCGAAGAACCTTGAAACTGAGGTTTCATCGTTTGAGGACTCTTTGGCTCGGGCAACAAGAAGGATGCAAGCATTGCAAGACAGTTGAGCATGTATAAGCTGAATTACTGTAACTTAGTGATGAAATTTGATAGTATAAATTAATATTATTGCATGAATGAATATGGAACTTGCAGGTTGGAGCAAAGTGTTAACAACACAGAAAGAATGAGAGAAAGCAGCAGTAGAAGATGCAGGGATTTTCAGATCCCATGGGAATGGATGTTTGATACAGGACTCATTGGCCAGGTAGGTAACACATAGCTTACAAATTAAATTTACCATAAAACAATTCATCAAAATTTCAACTGATATAAATGTCTTATGATACGTTTACAAGTCCTAAAACACTTGTAAACATGAATGGACAAGGAATTGCAAGTCCTAAAACAGTTGCTAATTCAGTTGAATTGAAGAATTTCACTCTAAGTCCTAAAACACTTGGATTGTGGAATGTAGAAAGCAATGGAGGATATTCAGCCCAAACAAGTTCTAAAGAGGGAGAGAGTCCAAACATTTCGGCCCAAGCCACTCCAAGTCCAAGCTCAACAAGGGAAGCTCAAGCTCACCAAGAAAGAAGTCCAAGTGTTGAAAATGTTCAATCTGGCCCAAGTCTCATTTCAAAGAGTAAGATCTACATGAACCCTTATTGGATCCATTTGCATGATTTTCAAGGCCCAAATTCTTACACCCTTATTAGTAGACTTAATTAAGATCATTGATTAAGTTTTGATATAATGGACGTAAGCTTATTTCAACTAATGGGGTAGTTAAAGACATAGATCTTAGAATTAGAGAATTATGTCTCTTTTGCATTAAATAGGCATGACCTTGTTTTTTGAATGAATTGTTTCTAATATTTAGTTAAGTTTATTTTATTTTCTTGTATTTGTCAATTAATTGTTGAGTAATACTACACATACATCATTTTCATACAATATTTCTTATACAACATTATGTGGCAAGATATGATTAGCTAATTTAAAGTTAAAATTAAATTTTCGCCTAATCATATCTTGCCACATAATATTGTATAAAAAATGTTGTATGAAAATGATGTATGTATAGTATTATTCTTATATTTGCCTATATAAAACAACTATTCCATTGTAACATTTAGCATTTGAAATATATGAAATTGGTTTATCTATTTGAGAGAACTTTGGTGTTCTTGAGTGTGAATTCTTTATTCAAGTCTTGGCAAGGGATTTGGTGGTGAATTAATTCAAGTTGGTGGAGCAATCCTTTATGCTTGAAGTGCTATTACTTGTCTCAGTCTGAAAATTGCAAATTAGTGTTTTGATTTCTAATTTTTGTGTTGGCCAAATTTGCTTGGATTTGTGGTATGTTGTTGTGTTGTATTGGTTGGAAATGGATCATCTTACCAATAATGTGAAACTTTTTATAGTTTCTCAAATTTGTTTATAAAGTAAGAAATGTTGACTGTAACCATATGAAACTAAGTTCAACGAGGCCTGTGAAGGAATACATGAAAAGAATAAGCAAGGAGTTGAATTCCATTAACGAATGTTTGCAAGAACAGAGTCCGATGCTCCAAGGAGTTCGATTTGCCTATAAAATCCACCAGGTAAACTCTTAACTCCTTACATTGTTAAATCCTTTCATTTTCATCATCTCTTTTACCAACAATAGAACGTTCAGTTTGCAGGTGGGCTTGACATAGAGAACATAAAATGCATTTGAAGAGCTAAAAAAAGTTGGTATCGTAGTCATCATAATATGTATTGTCGTTGTTCATCAAGTGTTTGAACTTTCTAATGCTCCTTTCATTTAGTTTTTGGGGATTTCGAATGTTGAATTAGTAGGTCGAAAGCAACATCAAGCTAGATGATTTGTATAGACATCCACTACCATTGTACCAAACATTATATACCGAGTTACGGCAATGAAAAGTTTGAAATGTTTTAGCTTTAAAAGTCAGTCTGAGAATATGTTTTACGTTGTTATAATTCAAATATGTTTTACGTTGTGCAGGTATGTTTTAGTTTTATAATAATAGTATAATTTAATATAATTTTCTAATTAATGTTTTTAAGACTTTTCTTTTTATAAAAACTTAACAATTTAGTCTCTCTTATGGAAAATAAAGGAGTCTTTATAATATGATTTAAAACTATATATAGTATTAATATAAGCATTCTTTAATCTGAATGCTATAAATCTCAAGACATTCCTACTTAATAATATTCAGATATAATATATATTAACTGGAAAATCTAAAAGTATTTGAAATATAACAAAGTAAAACATACCTCTTGTGCGGGCTTTAACCCTATTTACATAAATACTATCCCATTAAATTCAATAACAATTCATAAAAAGCCATAAATTATCTGATAAACTTATTTACTAATTATATTTTACTACGTCAAAAACAACAATAATTAAAATAAAATATAAATATACCCACGCTTTCCATCTAGTTAAATGAATAAACAGAATTCAGAAGCTGGAAGGAAACTTACCCAAAGGTCTTTATATTTTCTCTACCGGGTTTGGCCCTATTTTTTGCTTTTGATTGTAAGGGTCAATGCTATAGTCTACTTCACTCTTGGCTTCCTCTTCCTCTTCTTCTTCCCATTTGTATTTGTCGACTATCCGAAGAATCTTTCATCATCAAACTGGATGGCTGCTTCTTCTTCTTCTTCTTCTTCTTCAATTACTCAAGTGAAGTATGATGTTTTCCTTAGTTTTAGGGGCGAAGATGTCCGCGACAATTTTATCAGTCATCTCGATAAAGCTTTACGTCGCAAGAAGATTAAGACTTTCATCGATGCCCAACTTGATGCTGGAGAAAAGATTGCTGCATCTATTTTAAAGGCAATTGAAGAATCCAAGATTTCAGTTATTATTTTCTCAGAAAACTATGCTGGTTCTCGATGGTTGCTTGACGAGCTTATAAAGATTATTGAATGCAAGAATTTGTGGGGCCAGATTGTAAGACCAGTTTTTTATCATATAGATCCATCAGATGTAAGGAATCAAACCGGGGCTTTTGGGGAGGTCTTTTCTAGAATGGAAGAAAGATTTAAGGACAGCTCAGAGAAATTAGTCAGATTTAGAAGTGCTTTGAAAGAAGCAGCAAGTATTTCTGGCTTTTATTCAAGTGATATTTGGTGAACTTCTATTCTTACATATTACTTTCACTTTATGCTGATTTTTTTGGATCTAAGTTATAGAAAATATATATTTCATTAAGTATATTTCACTCGAGAATGTTTAGAAATAAATTTATTAGATTAAAATACTATAAGATCTACTTGAGCATTACGTGTTCTGCACATTGAGATAGGGAATACTTCTAGCTGTTTATTATGTTAAAGATATGAAATGTTAAGGATGAAATTCCAATATAATTTTGTAATTACTTTTAGTCAATAACATTGAAATAGATTTTATTGGGAGATGATTTCATGCATGTTCAATGACGGACGAAGTAGCCTATTGGAATTAGGATTACGTTGTGTTTGTCTCTTTGTGATCTACTTAATACTCACCATTGTTTCCTTTTTTTGTTATTGTTAGGTCTGATTCCGAACTTGTAGAGAAAATTGTTGAAGAAATTATGAAGAGATTGCAAGATATTTCTCCTAAAAAGGATCTGGTGGGTATAGCGTAAAAAACATTAAGAAAATTAAACATTAACAACAGTTACCCATTTTGTATTCAATAAGATCTCAAGTCAATTTGAAGAAAATTAAACATTAACAACAGTTGCCCATGTTGTATCAATGAGATCTAAAGTCAATTTGAAGTTCTTACTTTGTTAATGATGTTTGGCGAAAGTGGGAAAATATGGCAGAACTTCTATAAAATGAACTTCTTCCAACAATATTAGAGGATATTTTTTTTTAAGCTAATTATCATATTATCTGCCCTCACTTTTGTGCTTTTGGTGAATGAAAGTTTACTCGTTTTCATTTTATATTATTTACTTTCTCTCTTGGTTTTTAACTAGCTCTTTCAATCCAAAATTGAAATACACTCAATTTTCATTTATTATATTCATCTCACTCTTTCTTAGATACTGGAATGTTTGATGATGGAGGTATGCCAACTGGCATGATGCATGAAGGAAGCTGATTAATTATGAGAAAGTATTCGTCATTTCATTGATTAAGAAATTGAGAAAGATGCTCATATAATTCTATTGCTCTATATCTTGTATGTAACCTTAATCTCTAAGTCACAGGCTTGCAGGTTTCTTTCGGTGTTTTTCGTAGTTTTGGAGGCAATATCAGTGGTCTTGGATCTATATGGGAAAAGCAAAAAGAATTTTCTTCTTGCTGCATTTCTCTTGTCAGCTTTTGGATTTGTTATAACCATACATGCTTTTATCACGAAAAGAACCACTGCAGCATTTAAACAAAAAGCTGAGAGGGAACTTGCGTGGGTGGAGGTTATCTTCTCTGTGTTACAATTAGTTATTGTATTCATTCAATATATTCTAGCAGTTGCAAGAGTGAAGAACAGTTTTGATCCATCGCTTTTCCCGCTAGTCTTTGCCTTACTTCTTCTTGTGTTTGCATTCAAGAAGGGGAAAACAGTTAATAAGCATGATCTAATTAGGCATAACCGGGTAGGAATCTAAACACTAATTTACTTATTTCTTTATTTATTTTATATTGATTTTGCTAATTTTATTTGATTACAGGAAGGGAACTCCTCAAGGGTATGAGGCAAATGTACTTCTACAACCAGTCTGAACTTGTCAACAGCCAAGTGGAAGTGAAAGGCGTAAGGAGGAGCCACAACATAAGAGATTTAGGAAAGTCAAGTTCTTTTAAAGCCAAAGACTACTTTGTTTCGGGTCATGTCAAAACAGAATCTATGTTTGTGTTTGTGTTAACGTACCTATAGATATACTTCTGCTCAGTAAGTATTAATGTTTTTTAAAGTTTCAGATTTGAAACTTTTAATTTTTATTCGTTATCCCAATTGTTAGAATATGTAATAAAAGGAATGAGCTTTTGAAACACCTTTAAAAGAATATATGAACAGGGTTACAACGGATTAAATACCCATGTGGTTGATTAATTTAAAACATAAGAAAATTATAATTAGTATTATGCTGACTTCCTCTGCTCCTTCTGGGCTTGTATCGGTTTTGTTGGCCAAGTGACTAAATCTAAAATGGCCATGTTGATTACAAATCTGTTACTATTTGCTCTTTATATAATTTTTCTTCACGGTGAACTATTTACTTGGTTATATAATGCAGCTTATGACATTCCTACTGTATATTATTTTACCTTCAGGTTTTCTTTACTGCTTTTTCCAGAAAGCAACCATGAATGTGCATCCAATCTTGCAGCATGGATATCAATTTTCTTTCTTTTTTGTTCAAATATAGGATATTTATTGGGAAATTTACTCAATAAACCACGTTTCAAAGATCTAATTAAAAGCTAAACACAATTTTACGAGTCTCTCAACGAAGACCCTTTTCACCATTTTCACCCCCTTTTTTACCCTTTCCCCTTCGTTCAACTCAAACTTTCCGACACTCTACCTTAAACCTACGAACCTCATTGTCCAACTATTTTCTCATCAAATTTTGATGCATAACCACTTTCTATCTCTATATTTTCAGTTGTAATCCGATATAAGATTTTTGTATACAAATTTAGTAGTTAGGTATGTTGACGAGTTTGCTTGAGATGGATTTAATAGATAATGTGTTTAGGGTGTTTGTGAGTAATTTATAATTGCTTTTGGGTCTTGAAAATGTTGTATAATTTGTTGAAGAACCTCCTTGAGCTTCACATAGGAGATTGGGCCTCTGGGCCCAAGAGCATGAATCATGGGCGGCTTAATGGGTCTAAAACCCATTTTTTCAAATATTAAAGCTAAATTATAGTTCCATAAATCAAATTAAAAATATCAAAATTTGTTAAATATAAAAAAATATACATATCAATAACCTAGTGCTTCTCCTCTTCTTCCTCCTCCTTCATATCAATGCCGTTTAACTATTCTCACAGCCAGAATTCCCCATAATTTTAACATTGAATCTATCATCGACATTGTATCGAAAAATTAGAAAATCTACAAACTCCATAGGATTGTCTTCGACAAACTTTTTCCAACCATTCACAAAAAAAAAAAAAAAACCCTTTGTCAGCATATTCCATTTTCATATGCCAAACTTTTCCCATTCGATTCCGAAGTACAACGTTCTTTGGTAATGCATTCGAGTATTGTACCCAAGCATCCGGGATTTTCACAGAAGAGATTTATTGGTAAAAGTGGCACTTGAATGCATTACCGAAGAATGTTGCGCTTCAGATCGAATGGGAAAAGTTTGGCATATGAAAATGGTATATGCTGACAATGGGGTATTTTTGTGAATGGTTGGCAAAAGTTTGTGGAAGACAGCGCTTTAGAGTGTGGAGATTTTCTAATTTTTCGATTCAATGGTGATGATAGATTCAATGTTAAAATTTTGGGGAAATCTGGCTGCGGGAAAGCTAAGCCGATCCTCTTGTGGGCATTGATATAAAGGTGGAGGAAGAAGAGGAGGACACGAAATTATTGATGTCAGTACTGATTTTGATGATGATTACGGTAGTGACAGTGAAGATAATGTCGAAAAGGAAGAGGAAGAGAAGGAGGAGGAAACAGTAGAAGAAGCACTAGACGTAATCGCTACATTGAAGCAGAGAGGCAAAAGGATTTGTGGAAATGACGGTAAACATTATGTACTTTTTTTTTTTTTTCATTTCAAAGTAATAATATGTGCATGTGTGAATGCCCTAGAGATATGTAAAGGGTTTGTGTGAGATGAATGAAACCCATTGTTAATGTGACAATGTCTTGACCGGAGAGGAAGTGAGAAAATATGTTCATCCTCAAAATCCCTACTTTGTGTCAAAGCTAATGAACTCTGGGAAAAACCGACTGGTAACGAGCTAAAATCATCTATTACAAAAATACTTGATCTTGCTTAGTATAGTCAATAAGTGATGGTGGGATTTGCATTAGCCGTTTATTTCATTTTTAATCAGTTAAACTAATTGGTGAAATGCTAATTCTTTCAATTTGTTAGGATTTATGGTACCTCTGCTTCAAATGGGGGCCAAATTCTCCTGTGTTTTAGTTCATAATAAGAAATGTTTCTGGCATTATAATGATTTCTTGCACCATTATAAATCACATGTAAATGACTTCATTTGGCTTGAATTTATGGGGTCAAGCATGAATTTTGTTTTGCTTATTAAACAATATAGTTGCTAATGGTAGAGTTTTCTATTCATTATTGCAGTTGGTTCTATCTTATGTCTTGAGAGATTTTGGATTCAATTAGCTGAACATCTAACCTTGCAAGATGAGATGGAGGGGAAATGGCCTGGAATGGTTATGTGCTGAAAGGATGGTCGAACCTGGATTAGTGGATGGAAACAAGTCTGCTGGTGGAAGCATGAGCAAAAAGATGATCATAGCATATGCGAATTTCCGCAAGCAGCTGGGAGAAACAATATAATACTGTTGCAGATTCTCCGAGGAGTTGGGTCACAGAGCCAACCCGCTAACCAAGAACCAAACCAGGCTGACCAATGAAGCTGGGGCTACAGTCTGGTTTTAGTTTCTACATCAAGCTCTGCTAATGTTTATATAAATATTGTGCTTTCAAGAACAAGAAGTGTTATGGTGATGAACAATATTTAGAATTTTTCTGTGGGTCACTGTTGTCAAGGGTTCAGGAAACAAAAATGAAATCTGGGGTATTTTTTTTCTTTGTTTTCTACTTTGTTAGCTACTTACTCTTACCTATTCTTGTGTTCTGTAATTCTTTGCCAAAACACTCATGTCATTCACTTCTACATGCAGTTCTGTACTCTGTATAAGCTATTTTGAGTGTTAAAGAAATCTACAATATTGATGTAATTCTGGGGTGACCTTATGTTTCATATAATTTTTCTGGGGATACAGAAGTTTCTGTCATTCAAACATGTTGATTATTGTGAGATAGCTTCCATACATAGATTAAGTTTGAAACTTTCTTATCAGTTTTAGAACTCTAAGGTCTCTTAATAGTTTTGTCGCCTGTAATTCTGATGAGTGGTGATGGTATTGAGTACCATCTACTTAGCGTAAGTGTTTGTGAGTGATAAATTTCATGTACTATTGAAGAATTCTGATGAAATCTCTAGATGGTTTTACATGCCTTTGCTTCAAAGCTAATCTGTTTTAGTTGCATAGATTTTCAGTTTCGTCTTCTTGTCCGAATCACTTTTTTTTTCCCTCTTGTTCGTCTGCATTCAAGTTTAATGTTAAATCAGTGGTGGTCTTGTTTGTTGAGTTTGTATTAGGATATGCCTTCCTGTTTATAGAACATTGATCTGGAGTGACAATTATTTTGAAACTTCTTCGAGTTTTTGTTTGCTAATATCGTATGTTTTGAGGGACCCCAGAAGCTAAAATATGTAACACTAGGTTTTGGATCATACATTAATATCATAATATCAAAGAGGGGACTAGTATAATATGGTTTTAAATTTGAATTATCATCCTTCTACATATGGCTTCTGCTAATTCACAGCTTGCTTCTATTTGAAAGTCTTCAATTAATGTATCTAAAGATAGAAAAAAATTGTGCAAAGAACTGATAGAAGGCCTGTAAAAACCTATATTAACTGTTAAAGAGGATTTGCAAATAATTCTAATGTTTCAAATGTGAGATATTTTAATACGGTAATTTGGTGGAGACTCATAAAATCCTACCAAATCTTTCCACATTAAACAAGCTTTTACCATAAAATATTTTGTGCTATCACAGCATGGATTTTGATAACGATGTTTTACCAGCTTTAACAAAAAGCATGTGAGCAGAGGCCTGTGGAAACCATTAAAGTGTACTTGTAAAATGAGAGCAAATGTGGTTTTACTCTTTGATTTTTACATTAAACAAGCTTTTACTATAAAAAATTTAGTATAGATTCTTTTACAGTGCAATGTTAGCAGAATTAATAGTTGGATATGTGCTGGCCTAGTCTATAAAGGCAGCATATATTCTATCCTTTTTTAGTCTAGCTATATATAGAAGAGTATATTGTATATATGCATAGAATTGATAGGCGTTGATTCTTACCTTGCATAGTCCTGTGTAATGGCTGATTTTCAGCCTTGTAATTAGCCCGACAGCTTCTATATAAAGGGAGCAACTCTCACAAGGAGATATATAATTTTTTCTTCACGGTGAACTATTTACTTGGTTATATAATGCAGCTTATGACATTCCTACTGTATTTATTTTACCTTCAGGTTTTCTTTACTGCTTTTTCCAGAAAGCAACCATGAATGTGCATCCAATCTTGCAGCTTGGATCAATTTCTTTCTTTTTTGTTCAACATATAGGATATTTATTGGGAAATTTACTCAATAAACACGTTTCAAAGATCTAATTAAAGCTAAACCAATTTTACGAGTCTCTCACGAAGACCCTTTTCACCATTTTCCCCCCCTTTTTTACCCTTTCCCCTTCGTTCACTCAAACTTTCCGACACTCTACCTTAAACCTACGACCCTCATTGTCCAACTATTTTCTCATCAAATTTTGATGCTAACCACTTTCTATCTCTATATTTTCAGTTGTAATCCGATATAAGATTTTTGTATACAAATTTGTAGTTTAGGTATGTTGACGATTTTGCTTGAGATGGATTTAATAGATAATGTGTTTAGGGTGTTTGTGAGTAATTTATAATTGCTTTTGGGTCTTGAAAATGTTGTATAATTTGTTGAAGAACCTCCTTGAGCTTCACATAGGAGATTGGGCCTCTGGGCCCAGAGCATAATCAGGGGCGGCTTAATGGGTCTAAAACCCATTTTTTTCAATATTAAAGCTAAATTTAGTTCCATAATCAAATTAAAAATATCAAAATTTGTTAAATATAAAAAGAAAAAAAAAAAAAAAAAAAAAAAAATATATATATATATATATATATATAATATATATATATAATATAATATTACCTGTGCTTCTCCTCTTATTGCTCCTCCTTTAAATCAATGCCTTTTAACTATCTCACAGCCAGAATTCCCCAAATTTTAACATTGAATCTATCACGACATTGTATCGAAAAATTAGAAAATCTACAAACTCCATAGATTGTCTTCAACAAACTTCTTCCAACCATTCACAAAAAAACTCTTTGTCAGCATATTCCATTTTCATATGCCAAACTTTCCCATTCGATTCCGAAGTACAACGTTCTTTGGTAATGCATTTGAGTGTTGAACCCAAGCATCCGGTTTTCACAGAAGATAGTATTTTATTATTGTATAAAGTGGCACTTGAATGCATTACCAAAGAATGTTGCGCTTCAGACCGAATGGGAAAAGTTTGGCATATGAAAATGGTATATGCTGACAATGGGGTATTTTTGTGAATGGTTGGCAAAAGTTTGTGGAAACAGCGCTTTAGATGTGGAGATTTTCTAATTTTTCGATTCGGTGATGGTAATTCAATAAAATTTTGGAGAAATCTGGCTGCGAGAAAGTTAAACTGATCCTCTGTGGGCATTGATATAAAGGTGGAGGAAGAAAGGAGGACACGAAATTATTGATGTCAGTACTGATTTTGATGATGATTACGGTAGTACAGTGAAGATATGTCGAAAAGGAAGAGAGAGAAGAGGAGGAAACAGTAGAAGAAGCCTAGACGTAATCGCTACATTGAAGCAGAGAGGCAAAAGGATTGTTTAAGAAAATGATTATGCAACACTTACTCTTCTCCTTCTGGGCTTGCATAAGTTCTGCTGGCCAAATGGCAAAATCTAAAATGGCCATGTTGATTACTGATCTGATACTATTTGCTCTCTATATTATTTTCCTTAAAAAAATATATATATAGAGAAGAAAAAAAAATATTATTTCAAGGGTCCTGATTGTTTCATCAAGGACTGGGGCCTGAAAATGATAATATAAAGATGGCTCAAACTAGTGGTCAGTCTTTATTTGCAAGTTCTGTGTCTCATTTTTCTTGGCTAACATTAAAAGTCACTGAATTATCTATTCTACTTGTGAACCAACCATCCTCTCCCCACCTTATCCTATCTTTTCCATACAAATCTTCATTTCCTTCACTTCCAATCGTCTTTGTAATTCCACCCACATAAACAAGAATCACAAAACCACCAACAAAATCAGGTAACCCAGCCTCTCTAATCTCTGCTACTACTGCTAACAAAGCATAAACTTATAGTACTTTTCTCACAATCTTCTTCCATTTTTCTTTGTTCTTTTTCAGGTAGTGGGTGAAGATCAACAATGGCAGCAGCCTCAGCTACACTCTCTTCATCAACGTTTGTTGCTGCCACAGTGGCAGGCTCCAGTAGGAGAAGAAGAAGCATGAATGTGAGTTACATAACAGGGCTGAACTCATTTGGTGGGCTAAAAGCACACAACAATGTGGCCTCACTAGGCTTGCCAGTATGCACTGAGCAAAGTTTTGCTAAGATTGTGAGCTCATTGAGAGCTCCTGGAAAAGGCAAAGGAAGAAGTGGGGGTGCCTTGTCTTCAACATGCGATGCAGCCAGTGAGATCTTCAGGATTGCAGCAATCATGAATGGCCTTGTGCTTGTTGGAGTTGCAGTCGGGTTTGTTCTTCTCCGAATTGAAGCATCTGTGGAGGAGGCTGAGTGAGCATTGAAGCCAAAAAAAAAAAGTTTGATTTTATGTGTTCTTTTTCATCAAGCTTGTATCTTTACAAATCTCATCATTTGATGTAGAACTTGATTGTTTTGCATACATAAACCAAACTCATAAGCTGAGTTCTCAATTATTTTCACACCAATGTATTACACGTCGTAAATACATTCAAAGGGCAGCTGACAAGTCGTTTATGTTGTTAAATGGTGGATGACTGGCCGTTTGTTGAATAGAAATGAAACTCTGGTCATATCAACAATGCTACATCATTTGCTATTGGACTGTCAGAATTAACAATAAAACTACATTAAGATAAATAGTAAGGGGGTGTCATCTTCCTGCAACCAATAGATGATTATGAACTTAGGATCAATCCATCTTAACTTGCTTTGGCACTAAGCAGAATTTGATTAGCTATCAGTGAAATGAGTTTATCAATTTGATTATTTGATGTATTTTCTTAAACTGGGCATGGTAATCTTTAACTTCTTCATTTTTGCTGCATCCATGAACTAAAGATTTCACATTTGCAAGTAATGTGTAAATGCAGGCAACAATTAAAAATCAAGTGTTGTGTTGAAGTTTTGTGATTCTGTAATATCTGTGATGAGAAACTGGGTATGTTTGACTTGTTAGCCCTGCCGTCGCTTGGAAGTTAGGCGCAGGAACTGCTGCTATGACTATGACTCATTACTGGGTTGAACGACTTACAGAAGGAAGAATCTGGCATAGGCCACATTAAACTGTCATTTACTTATGGAGAATGGTCCACATTGTTTGTGGATGAGGAAATTCCACAACTTGTACAGTCATCAATGTTGTCTTTTTGTGCAAAGTCTGATATTTATTTCATGCTGCAGAAACTGGGTTTATATGCGTTGAATCCTCATCTTCAATCATCTTATTTCCTTGGACAGTGAAAAACGATGGGATTTTACCTTCAGCTGCGAGATACCATGGCGTTGTTGGCACTTGTTTTTGCTATTATTTTTCTCTGTGTGATTGTAAAAACTGCCAAAGGGAGCAAGAACAAAGGCAGGAGGCCACCGGAACCAGCAGGGGCATGGCCTTTTATCGGTCATCTTCATCTTCTTGGATCAAACCAGCAGCTGCATCAAACATTTGGAGCCATGGCTGATAAGTATGGTGCAACCTTGTTGCTCCACCTTGGAATTCATCAAGTACTTGTAATCAGTAGCTGGGAAGTGGCAAAAGAATGTTTCACAGTAAATGACAGGATTTTCCCAACCCGTCCAAGGTATTTTGCTGTAAAACTTATGGGATATGACCATGCCATGTTTGGCTTTGCTCCTTATGGACCGTATTGGCGCGAGATTAGGAAGCTAGTTGCCGTTGAGATTCTCTCAAATCGCCGCCTTGAGTTGCTCAAGCATGTCCGTGACACAGAAATCAACTGTTTCATAGAAGGGTTATATAAAAAAAGTGTCAAAAATGGAGGCCTTGTTGCTGTAGACCTGAAGGAAAGGTTTGGGGACTTAGCAATGAATATCATAGTAAGACTGATGGCTGGTAAACGATATTTTGGTACTGATGCAAGTGGTGATGATCCAGAGTCAAGGCGGTGCCAAAAGGCCTTGGGTGATTTCTTCTACTTTGTGGGATTATTTTTGGCCTCAGATGCAGTTCCATGTCTTGGTTGGTTAGATTATGTGAAGGGATATGTAGGTGAAATGAAGAGGACTGCAAGGGAGTTAGATTCCATCTTTGAGAGTTGGGTGCAAGAGCATCATCAAAAAAGGCTCAACAGAAACATCAATGAGGAGGAGCATGACTTGATAGATGTGATGCTGTCTATCATGGATGAAGGCAGGATTTCAGCTCAAGATGATGAACATACTGTCATTAAGGCAACTTGCTTGGTAAGTTCCTGGCTATTCAGTTACTCCAAATTATCACAAATCATATTTTATGAATTGAAAATAAAAGAAAAGAAAGGAATTTTCCGTCTTTCATTGTCAAAACACTACCATTTTTATTAACATGTAAAGTGTTCATAGAACTTATTATAGATCTCTCCTCACATATCTAAAGTGAACTTGCAAAGATCCCAATGGAGAAGATCATGGCTAATCAACTAGACCATGGTAGAGAAAAGTAGAAAAATTTTAATTGTTAATGATCTGACCTTTCAATCCTAGGGTCTACTTAGGAGTTTCATGGTGACGGTTATGAGAGTAAACCACCATAGCAGTTTTGAAGGGTTTTTAGTAGCGGTTTTTAAAACACTTAACCTGCGCTTGAGAGTTTATTTTCTAATGATTCTTGATAGTTTTTTAAAATGATAAATTTACATATATATACTCATAAAAGTAGGAGCTGAAGAACAAATAGTCGAATGAAAAGAAGTCAAGTCTTTTTCTCTTTCCTGTTGTTTTGTGCGTTTTTAATCGGCAATAGTGATTTTTGGATATAATTATGATAGTTTTATAGTGGATTGGGTATTTGTGGAATAAAATTTTAAAACCGTTAAAAACACTCCGATTTGGGGGGTTTATAAACCCCTAAAACATACACTACACTGGTTCTATGAGGTTTTTAAACCAGTCAAAACTAATGCATAAAAAATCTGACAAATAATAGTTTTAAAATATCTCAAAACCAGTTTAATTAAAAACTCCTCAAAATCTGGGAAAAAAAGTCTCAAATAGACACTTATGGTTAATCTTTTGTTGCTTTTGTAACAGACAAACAAATTTCCCAATTGATGATAAAGGAAAGCCAACAAATTCTTTCGACTCTCTAGATATGCCAATTTTAGAAAATCCTCAGGAAGTGAAATTTCCAGATAATTGATTTCGGTTCTTATTTGAAGGCAACAATACTACACTCACACACAGACATTTCTCACTAACTTTCTCTCACAAATACGACGTGTCAGCTCGTGATTGGTCAGCTTGCATAAGTCCCACCTGTCCAAATGTGAGCCGACCAATTGCGAACTGTCATATCAATGTTTGTCAGAGAAGTTTGTGAGAAGTGTTTGTCAGCATATTTTTATTTCCTAAACTATTATATCTTCTTTGCAGAGCCTTATTTTAGGTGGCAATGACACCACAGTGGTAACACTTACATGGGTGATATCTCTGTTACTGAACAATCGCCATGTGCTAAAGAAAGCGCAAGATGAGCTCAACGTCCATGTCGGAAAACATAGGCAAGTAGAGGAGTCAGATATAAAGAACCTGATATACTTACAAGCCATTGTGCAGGAAACATTGAGATTATACCCTGCACTACCACTTTCAGCACCACGCAAGGCCATGGAGGACTGCACCATATCTGGCTTCCACATTCCAGCAGGCACACACCTCGTTGTTAACCTGTGGAAGTTGCAGCGTGACCCCAGCATTTGGTCAAACCCTTCAGAATTCATACCTGAGAGGTTCCTTAATGACCATGCCAAGTTGGACTTTAATGGTCAGGATTTTGAATATATACCATTTGGTTCTGGAAGGAGGAAGTGTCCGGGGATCTCATTTGCACTTCAAGTCCTGCATTTGACCCTGGCTCGGCTGCTTCATGCATTCGAGTTAGGGACAGTCTCGGATACACCAGTGGATATGACTGAAGGTCCTGGATTGACTGTCCCCAAAGCAACACCATTGGAGGTCACCCTTACTCCAAGGCTAGATTCCATGTGCTATTCGAGTACTAAAAACCAAGAACAGTAATCTGCTTCGTGATCATCGATGTATCAAACATGTAAACTATGTACAGGATCATATTTATGTAAAAACAAATTCAAAACTATGGAGTCTAAAAGTTTTATCACTTATCTCATTATTGTGATACTTTTAAAACAGAGTTTACAAGTTATATCACAATATGTGTTTCTACTGAGACCCTTTCATTTTTCAATAATCTTGTAATTGTAATGTTTGATTGATGAGGTCGAAATTAAGGGTGAAGAGTCGAGTCGAGTCGAGTATCTTGTAAATCGAACTCGACTCGATCGTTACAGTATCGAGTTCGAGCCTGGTCGAGTATAAGAAATCAAGTTTGAACTCGAACTCGGTACTTGAAATTGGAAATCGAGTTCAAATTCGAGTTCGTATAATTAAGTTTTAATCAAGTTTAAGTTCGAACTTAATTTCGACCTCATCTAATAGGGGTGGATTTGCAATTTTTATAACTTTTAAATTACTTATGACCTCTATTATTTTAAAACCTATCAACTTCATCATTGAGCTTGAAAATACTGGCAAAGATATCGAGTCGAGTTCTACTATGATCAAACTCGACTCGATTAATTACTCGAACTCGATTTGACTAATGCTGAGTGGAGTTATTCAACCCTAGGCCAGATGTTACATCAACTTGAGGTGAAAGAAATCATACAAAGCATGAAAAAGAAAATACAGTAAGCAAGGAGCATATAGTATACAAACAATACTGAGGAAGTATTGCGGCTATAGGAATAATAATACAATATATTTATTATTGATAGCAGCTTCTGAGTGATCCAATGATCTTAAGTGAACATGATATTTTCATGTTTAAATTTCTATATCTTAGGGATGAACTAGCTTTAAGCCATCAGCTGCTATGGAAACATCTATGACTGTACTGTGAAGTTGCTCATATTGGGTTGACTGACATCTGGGGGCATATTTTCTAGCTAATATTAGGCAAACGGATCCTGTAAATACCAATATTCCAGAGAGTACCCAACTGAATTGCAAATTAGCTAGTCCCCGTGCTCGAAAATCTGCCTCATGAGATGCGCAAATGACTGCTCCATGCATGTTGCTACTGACTTCCTCTGCAAGCTGCATACTGCATCCCTGAGGAACAAACTCTGGAGACCAAAGATTGAACCCCATGTTCACAAACCAACAGCCTTGGAACACAACTGAAATCGAAACAACAAGAGCAGCAAGAAAATTGTTCGGGAAACTTGTTGCTGATATAGCTGCCACAAAGGAGATGAACACTATGAGCTGAAAGAGCCAATGGTAATGGCCTTCCAGGCCAACATGATTAGCGGAGTGGAAA